TTTACTTAAGTAAATCAATATATTATATTAATTAAATTCAAACTGGACATATAATGAGAGAATTCTGACTGCTAATCATATAAACCATTTTTTATGAAGAAAAAAATTTTTTATTTTTATAAATTATGGCTAAAAACGACACCAACAACACTTAAATATACTTGAAAAAAACACAAAAAGTACTTTGCAATGTTATAGAAAAAGAGTTTATCAGTTTATTTAAAGTAGTTTTTAAACATTTTATTAAGACTAGTATTACAGGTATTAGCTAAAGTTTATAAGACCATTTTAAATCTGAAATAATAGACTATTTATTAAAAAATCTCTACAAAACTTTAGTTTGAAAATGCATGAAAACTGAAGCCTTTAATGTGAAAAGTTTTATGTATTTAATACTGGCTTTCTTGGAGTTTTACAATACACTTAGATGTACTTTAAGTGAGAAACTCAGAATCTTAAAAAAAAATCACCTGACTTCAACATGTCAACAAAATCTACCAATCAGGAGGTTATATATCTGTGTTCACCAACTTTAGATATAGAAATTTTTAAAGATACCACGTACCAATCACAGGACGTGAATGTTGAAACACAAATAAAAACTCTGAACACTAAAGTCGTGCCATTTATTCCAAAATGAAAAAACTGCATGGTAACTTTTGCTGATATTGTGAAATGAAAACCTGATGATGATGGTTGACCATTTTCAACTACTCCAATTGGATGTAAACGATAAAATAAAACTTCTGCTCAAAAAGATCCAAAAAGCAAAAAAAAGAAGTCTAGAAAGTCTGATAATAAAAAAAGAAATTTTAACAACACGTTTCTAAAAAGATGATTTGACTATTATGATTGGATATACAGTGGACATCAAAAAAAACGCACCAAACTTTTTTAAAATTATTAATTGTTCTTATTAAATCAATTTAAATTCAATTAAAATAAAATTTAAAACTTAAATAATATATGGTTTGGCCTACTAAAAAACATAAAATTTAATATTAATTTACTAATTAGTTTTTTAATTACATAACATTAAATCAAAACAACTTGGTGCATTCTTTTTGCCACTTTAAAATTTTTAAAAAAATCAAAATTTTCACAAAATTATATTATGCTTTTATAATAAAAAAATGTAAAATTAATTATTAAATAGCTTAAATTATTAATTAAAATTAAAAAAAGTCAATACTTTTTAGTAATAAATTGATTAATTTATTTAATGAATATAATTAAAAATTACTATAAAACATATAGATTTTACAGTTTTTATTATAACAGTTTTTCTTAAACTACATTAAATCAAAAAATTTTATAGTAAAATAATACCCAAAATTAAATTCTCCTAATTAAGGGGAATTTGCGAAAAAAAAAATGGAGTGCAACGGACCTTTAGATC